CAAGTCATGTTTCTTTAATCTTCCCCTATCGTATTCTATGCAATCATTTTAGTAGAGAAATTGTCTTAACAGAGCTAAAATGGGAGGATTAATGTAGATACACCTGAACATTTGGAATGTGCTTATTTTGTTATTATTGTTGTAGATTCTACACAAGTGACCGTGTTAGCATATTACTATTGCTCTTATGCATAGAAAGAATTGTTCATTCCTTGATTTTTTTTTCTGTGTAGCAACCTATCAATAAACATCAAGGAAATGACTCCTTGGCATCTGATACTTTTATATAGATAGACTTTCTACTTTGTTTCATTGTGTCTATCATAGTAGAAAGTTCAATCGCTTGCAGGACATGATTCATCATTTTCTTTCCAACTTGCCTTCCTAGCATTCACTTCATTTTTGTTTCCGTAAGTAATTTGTTTCTTTCACCTTTCACAGTCTCCTTGACAAGGCTGCAATAATCTCAACCCTAGGCACCGAAAGAGAGGACCTCTCGAACCCGTGGAGTCTGTGCACAGTCACACAAGTGGAAGAATTCAAGATACTCATCCAAATGTTTCCCATTTGGGCCACCACCATTGTGTTCTCTTCTGTATACTCACAAACTTCCTTGTTCTTGGAACAGGGCATGGTCCTCAACAAACAAACTGGATCTTTCTCCATTCCTCCAGCCTCACTCTCAACGTTCACTGTTATCAGTGTCCTCATCTGCATTCCAATCTATGACCGCCTCCTTATCCCAACAGTAAGAAAATTAACTGGCGAAAAAAGAGGCTTCACTGAGCTTCAAAGAATCGGGATTGGCCTTTTCGTATCGATACTTGCAATGTTATCAGCAACCTTAGTAGAGATCAGGCGGCTTCAGATTGCAGAATCTGAGGGCTTAGTACATGAAAAGGTTGTGGTGCCAATGAGTATTCTTTGGCAAATTCCTCAGTATTTTTTAATCGGGGTGGGTGAGGTGTTTACTGCTATTGGGCAGGTGGAGTTTTTCTATGAGCAGTCTCCTGATGCCATGAGAAGTTTATGCAGTGCTCTTGCTCTTGTGACGGCGAGTTTAGGGAGTTATTTGAGTTCGTTGATTCTGACAGTCGTGGCTTCGTTGACAACTAGAGGAGGAAATCCTGGATGGATTCCTGATAATTTGAATGAAGGGCATCTTGATCGGTTCTTTTTGTTGATTGCGGGTTTGAGTTTCTTGAATCTTGTAGTGTTTGTTTGGTGTGCCTTGAGGTATGAAAGCAAGAAGGCTTCCTAGAATTGTTGTGCTGTGAGAGGGATTGAAATATTGTCAATTGGATAATTGTAGAGTTTGTTTGTTTGGATCTGTGTATTTAATGCGCGAAAAGGAAGTGGAGTTGCATGTAAATTTACTGTTAAAGAAGAATTTGTATTCCTTCTGCTTTTTTTCTTTTTGGATGCCGTAGAGAAGTGTGTGTGACGGCTGCGGATACGTCGGAGATTTTGCATGTTACTTTCGGTAGTTTAGAGAGAACATAAATTTTGCTATTATTTTGCTTCAAATTTCAAGGTTCTTTTTTTTGGGGGGGAGATAATAATATGTCAGTTTATAGCAAATATAGCTCAGTAAGTCTTTCTGTTTTTCTAAATTAATCACATTTCTGGTGGTATCCCTAAATAAAAGATTATGATAAATATGTATAATTTATGAAGATTAATTTCTTCTTTTCTTATCACAATACTGATACGTGGGTTACAAGTTACTATTTATATTCACTAAGTTCAAGGCAGCTGTGGGCAAAGCCAATAACACACTCAAGTACAAATTGAAACCCAAACTCTTGAAATTCAGAAATCCCTGCTAGCCCGTTAAGGACAATTTTTTTTTCTCCCAAAACATATTTAGCCAATACATTACTAGCTATGTACATCCAGTAGAAATTCATGTCATGACAGGAACAAGCTTTTAAATGCGACGGCCTAAGTTAGAACCATCGACGATGATAGTATCATTAACCGACAGCCCAAAAGTACTGCACAAAAGCAAAGATTATAAACATTACAAACCTCAAAAGTCAATCCATCAAGAATCATTAACAAAAAAACTAAAGTTGGAAATACCAAGAGAAGCACAGCTTAAAAAGATTTCCCAGCAACAAATTCAACAACTTTCCAATTATCAGAAGAATAAAATGACAGCATAAGAGATGCAGCGAACGAAGACATTTTTGAGTGTAAGCATTTGCTTATTATACAAACATTTCTGAAATTATAACAATAACATTTAACTACAGAAAAGAGACCATTAACTCGTAGCATTGCAATAGAGTAGTTCAATTGTCACAAATATTTACATCCATTCCACTATCTGGGTCTTATTCAAGTAGCCCTCTTGCTTCTATACCTCATTGCACAGGTCATGTAAACCAAAAGGTTCAGCAAACTGAGGCCAGCCAGTAACCAGAAGAAGTAATCCAAATGGCCTTCATTCAAATTATCAGGAATCCATCCAGCCTTCCCTCCCCGAGTAGTTATCAAAGTCACCATAGTCAAGATAAATGAGCTTAAATAGTTACCAAGCGCAGTTGTCAGAAGCGAGAGAGCACTGCAGAGGCTTCGCATAGCATCAGGACTCTGATCATAGAAAAATTCTAGCTGCCCGACAAATGTGAAGATCTCAGCAGCACCCACAAGGAAATACTGAGGTATCTGCCAAAGGATAGTCATTGGCACCACAGCCTTTTCGTATGTTAAACCCTCGGCCTTTGCAATCTGCAACCTCCTGATCTCTACTAAAGCTGCCGCTCCCATGGCTAGTATTGATATGAAAAGGCCAATACCCATTCTTTGGAGCTCTGAGAACCCTCTCTCTTTGCCTGTGCATTTTCTGGCTATGGGCACAAGGATCCTGTCATAGAATGGGACCCAAATGATTACACTGATAACATCGAAGGCTGAAAGAGAGGCAGGGGGGATGGTGAAGGAGCCGATGGTTGTATCAAGAACCATGCCTTGTTCAACGAACATGGTGGAAATTTGGCTATAAACTGCAGAGAAGACAATTCCAGTGGCCCAGATGGGGAACATTCGCACTAGGATCTTCAGTTCTTCAACCTGGGTCACCGTGCAGAGTTGCCAGGGGTTGGAGGAGCTCTCAGTCTTTGAATTATCAGGTGAGACGGTGGCTGCCTTGTCGAGAAATCTTTATAGGAAAAGATGATTAGACAAATGGATCAATAAAAACATGAGTAAATGGAGGCTAATGTGTTCCTCCACACTCCTGGCTAGGGTGTTGCTGATGTGGTGCACATCTAGGCAATTACAACATTGATGATCAACATACACAGGTCCTAGATGATAGCCTAGATGTGTACCACCTCAGACACATGAGCTAAATGTGATGAGACACACCAGCCCCATTGGATATTATTACTAGTGAAACAGGATTTTTTTTCCTTGTTCTGATATAATGAGTACCACCATTTGATCTTCTGAACAGACCAAACAATGCAAAAGATAATTGGAACACTATCAGCAAGTGTAACCATGACACACTGAAGATTGGAAGTAGACCTGTGAGCCTTCAAATTAGGAACCTTGTACATAGGTTCTGCTTTAGAAGCTTAGAATGAACAAACCACAGTTGCATGTCTTGGAGACTTTGGCCTCTGGATCTAGTGGCCAGGGCTAAAGTTTGACATCCTCGAGGCTTCTAACACCCAGAATAGCTTTGGAACCTACGTTACCTGGGTGCTTCTAATATGGAGACGTATCCATACCCGACATGTGTTTGTACCCGTACCTGTTCTTGGACACTCCTTAAATATATGCATATATTTATTTAGGCATGTCCTCGATTATACAATGCATGTTTAATTCAAAACATTCATACACTTTTTGGATATATGTCTGACACTTCACGTCCCTTTTCTTTTCCCCTACTTGTTGGATAAGGCTCGAGTTCGTTTCAGCCTTAATAGCTCCAATTTAAAATGATCATTTACTTAGAACTATGATTATATCCCCCATAAATTTCAACCATGTCCCCGTACCCTACCTTTTACAAATTTGCCATATCCCATATCTGTACATGCACACTCGTACCTGTACCCATGCAACTTAGTTTGGAACTGAGCGTAAGGAACTAAGCTAACTCCTAGAAAATCTACTGGTATTGTCTAGTATAAAACAAGAAACAGAGAGTTTCTAATCTGTTTTTTTAGTCTTTGAACAAATTCTCATGAGTTAGCGACACTGTGTCGCTCTTCTTACGAAGCAATGTATTGTGCTATTAAGATAAAAACTTTAAACAACTAGGCAATAATGAGATTATACTTTTCTAGATAAGTAACAGTAACTTACATGAGCTCATCACTGTGCTCAATCTTTCGACTCCCTTCAATCGCTGAGAATTTTTCAGGCAGTTCATACAAAAGAGAGCTATCATGAGGGACATCTACTCTCCATTTCCGGACAGAGGCAACCACCACCTGGCAAATTCTGGTAAGCGGACTTCCTCCAGGTCTCTGAAATCTATAAAGTGAGGTGCCCAAGAAAAAACTGCCTATAGCCAAACCCATGAACAAAGTGGGAATACCAAACCCCAAGCCCCAACCCCAATTGTCTTGTACCCACACAAGAAAGCTGCTTGAAATGAGAGCCCCGATGTTGATGGAGAAATAGAACCAATTAAAAAAAGAGCCTTTCTTCACTCTCTCTGCTGGATCCGTGTCATCAAACTGATCAGCTCCAAAGGATGAGACGCAGGGTTTGATGCCACCAGTCCCTAACGCAATTAGATACAGACCAAAAAAGAATATGGAATATTGAGCTGCACTTGCTTCTGGACATATAGATTGTACACAGGCAGGGGGCTTGAATGCTGGAACTGAGGCTGACAGAGTTAAAGTACCCATTCCCTAAATTCAATGAACATATTATGAACTTTGTAGGATTATGAAGTCCAAAAAATGTTGATTAAACGAATAGAACAAGAGTAATAAGAGTTTACATTTAGTTCCTCTTCTAACCAAGATGAAATAACCAAGTATGGAACTGTTTTACAACAGATGTCACTGCTTCTAGTGTGACCTATCTTTTTCTATAGACAAAGACTGTTTTTAAGGCCCAATATATAAGTTTTATAACTCCCTTATGCTTCTAGTAAACATGAAAGCTTGTCCCAAGTAAACTTGGTTTCTGAAAACACAAGGAAAGAGAGCATATTATTGATTTGAGAATAATAATAGTCAATGTTAAACTTCTAAAGTTTAGGTTCACGTGTTCAAAGAATAAAGTGGATATAGGATTGGGGATTCAGAATTCAAGGTTAGATTATGCATTTTCAACCACTGAATTCTAACTCAATGATCAACAAATGGGATTGGGGGATTGTTTTACGACTCTGATCAAGCATCTTAAGGTTAGATCAAGCATCTCAAGTTTAACAAGCAATTAATCAGCACCCGGGAAGAGGAACAAATAACTGCAAATCATATGCAATTAATAAACAAATCGAAGGCAACGGAAACAAGTTAAACTTACAAGTACATATATTGATGAGAACACTGCAATCGTCCAGTATCTCCCCCAATATGCATCAGCTAAAACAGCTCCTATCAGAGGGGTGAGATAACAGGTACCTTGCCAAGTTGTGACATTTCTTGCAGCAGTAACATTTCCTTGGTGTAGCTTTTTTGTGAGATAAGAAACAAGATTTGTTGCTATTCCATAGTATGCCAAACGTTCACAGCATTCAGTCCCTGTATCATGGTAAATGGAAAATTCAGAACTGAAGTTAATTGTACAAGAAAGACAATTAACTCAATAGTGACCAAATAATGATAAGAACCTAAAATGAAAGGGCAAGCTCTCCAATTTCCCGTCCTTTCCTTCAGAATCGGATTTCCATGGAGATCAACTGATCCATCTCCTGTGTAAGGTCCTTTTCTTTCATTCTGTCAACAAACGAAATTATGATGGAATTATGCAAATATTACAGTCATCTGAAGTTTTGAATGATAGACTAGTATGATAAATAGCTCTTTACTAATCATCCTTTGTTTCCTAGCATTATTTTGTTTTATATCTGGCTTTAGCTGAAGTGCTGAACTATAGTCCTAAATATCGCTTGTTTGCTTATAAATTGAACAGGAAAAGAAGGTCACAAATAAAAAATAGATATGTAAGGATATCTTCTCCCATCAATTTTTATTTTTGTAATTCAACTAAATACAAATAAAAGCTTGTTTAGAGGCTTCTAATATTATTTACCTTTATAAACTTGAATTTAGTTACAAGACTTAATTTGAATGGGTTAACTTATACAAAGGTGAACTATAACAAGATTTTGGATGAATGCAATTCCTCATTCACGGATTGGTACCATTACCTTAAGCACTTAGGCTGGTTCGATAACAACATCCAACTAATTTTTGTCAGAAGGTTGGTTTGATGAAGCTATCACAACATCATGTACATTCCATTAGCAATGAATTATTGATTTCCTTATAAAATAATATGATTTAAGAAACTAAGGGCAGCAAATCCTCAGAGCAGCAGTTAAACTACAAACAAATATTTCAGGGAACTATTTAGATTCCACATCAAAACTCAAAATAAACAATATGAAAAATATGACAGCTCAAGCATTCCAAATATATGGGAAACCAAGCCATCACCACAGGATTTGACTAGTCCAGTAGTATGATTGTTTCACTACTTCCATCTCCTGCGAGCTCATTTTCATAGATGTCATCACCTTATAAATTTCATCTCCTATATATGTATATACATAATATATAGAGTGATGCTTGAGTCCTTTGAGAAGGATTTATAGACAAACTTTTCCAGCTGAAATTTGGTATTGGTAACCATTTATTCAGTCTACTTTGTTGAAGTAAATATACATCATTTGAAGTATTTAAAAAAATAATAATTTAATGCCCATACATCAAGAAAGCCCAAAACGGTCGATGATTTTATGCTTGGATCTACAATTTAGAGCATAGAAACTAAACAAACATTTGATCTTAATCTAAATACTTGACGAACTCGCAATTAAGACCATTTATATTGCACCTGGTGATACATTGATTAAAAAAAAAAGAAATTTTTAAAACTTGATTTTGGTTTTCAGCAGTTTAAATGAGATGGTCCACTTTAAATCTTCACATCGAAATTTAATATCTTCCTATCTTTCAGGAAGTAGCCTACTCTCTCTCAAAAGAATTTCAGCAGCAAATGAATCGGATCACGTCTGTTCTTACTCTTTGGAAGAAGGAAAACAAATTCAGGTATTTATACAGTTAAATGATTTACCTCATCAAATCACTAGTTCACACTAGTCAGCCTAATTCAAGATCCAATTTTGATGAGACAGAATAGAAACAACAATAAATCACATAATTCTAAATTAGAAACATATACATGGTATAGATCAAAGAACGTAAAATTGATTTCTTCTTCGATCAATCAATAACAGAGAAAAAAGAGTTTTTACCTCTAAAAGGCCATCTTCCAATAGCAATCTCTCCCCCTCCTGAGATCCCATTAGATTTTAAAAACTCTCCTCAAAAAAAAAAAAAAAAAATTCGCCAATCTGAGCCAAAAAAAAAAAAAAAAAAAATTCGCCAATCTGAGCCCTAATTTGGGTGTGAAGGAGCTGCGAGAGGATGGGGATTTTTAAAAGCTAATTCACAGCCCGAGGCTGCAAGTTTCCAACGAGGATTGGATATTTGGTATATTAAAGTCACGGGAGGACTACAAACTAGGACTCAATATTGGGACTCGCAAGTTGTCGCATTAAACTTGAGGCTGATGGTTTTGTACGTGAGTTGAGGTTTGGGTTGGTTTAGAATTGGTGCGGTGGAGAGAATCAATTTTGGGAATCAAATTATAATTAATGAGGGCGAGTTCGCTTCTGTTTTCAGTTTTTCACGAGGTATGGGGATGCTTGGGGAGCTTTGTCTGTTAGGGTCTGTTTGGTTCACCAGTTTATAGAATAGGATTAGTAATTGGGGTCTGACAGTGGCAATTTGGTA